CTCCAAAGCTGATGGCGGCAGGATTTGCTGGGATATTGTTATGCACGCTGCAGTTGAGTCTGTCTCTAAAGGAGGTACGAAGCTGTAAAATGTAAAACACAAACCACAGAGATGTAGTAAGAAGTTCTACCGGCGCTGGTGTACCCGTGTGTTATCCCGCTGATCTTAAAAACCTCCCCCTGCTACACACACACACACACACACACACACATTGACTCGCACATTTTGAATAAAGCTGTCCACACATTTCCAGTTGGTCAGTTGCATATAACTTTATTTAGGTTATCAGTTCGGCTTGCAATGTAAAGCCATATTGTAGCACACAAACGCTCGCCCACATGTTTCACGCCACTTGAATGAACGCACAAAAAAGTAGTGTAGTTTGCTACTGGCTGAGAGCACACAAACAAACCTCCATTGAAGTGTTTTTCAGATATTGTGGCAGCTTCGACTTGATGTTCTAGTGTTTTTATTTTGACCTTAGCCTAGTCATGCATAAGAGTTTTGTAACCGGTGTTTCACAGACGTGGTGTCGAAAGGCAGACCCCCCCCCCCCCCCCCACTTTCCCCCGGGAAAGGGGGGGGGGGGGGGGGGTTCCCGGCTCCAAGTGGAAAGGTCCACAAAAAAATAAACGGGGTGAAGTGGAAAAAAAAACCCCCTAATGAGATATGTTCGGATTTTATAAAAGATTTAACAGCCGACGAGAGGCATCTGTCAAGAAACCAACGTCTGTCCCCGGCAGTGCCAGTAGTGCCTCGAGCCAAGCGGCGTGCCTCCGCATAATTCCCCTGATAGCATGTGCCCGGCGGTGTGCACGTGGGCCTCCTGCATCGCCCTGCCAGGTCGCCCTGATAGGCTGTCGCGCTGATCCTGGATCTGCTCCGGCAGCTGAGGAAGCGTCGCTTGCCTTGTACACATTTATTTTTAATTTCTGCATAGCGCGAGTCGTGGCAGAGCGACCCGGCCTTGACCTCGCCGGTGGAGACGCGGCACCGCGTGGTCGGGGGAACATCACGTCTGCTTTGCACAGTGCTCACCTCTCAATGATGGCAACCGGGTGTGCAGTTTGTTGTTGGGAATGCATTTTTCGTCCTCTGGAGGATTTGGTCCCTCTGCTTGCTCATCCACATTTTACTCAATGCTGTTTCCATCAAATAAATCTGCACGTGATTGGCAGTAACCTACATGGGGACGAAATGAAACACAATCTGGGGTTGTGTTTGTAATCCAGTACTTTGGGGGTTAAGTTGTGAAAGTTAATGTAATAACTGCTAGCACCATCTGCTGGCCTACTTCCTTACAAAGAGAGAGAGAGAGAGAGGGAGAGAGAGGGGGACCTTGTGAGTGAGCGAGCAAGAGAGAGAGAGCGGAAAACGAGTCTGGGTTTTAACGACATCTCTAATATTCATGCTCATGCATTTCGCTGCTTTGTGCTCTCATTTTCCGCCGCTCTGCCTGCCAGACTCCCGAGCCCAGCACACGCGCCCCGGCCAGGGAGAGGGTGAGGGCAGCGGGGGAGAACGAGGAAAAGGACGAGCAGGAGGTGTGGGGGGGGGGGTGGGCAGAGAAAAAGGAGGAACAAAACAAGCGAGCGAGCTGACACGAATGCCCTTCTGTGGTTAATAAAAAGGAGCGACCTACCTCGTCCCGGCTGGGTGAAGGACACCGTGGGCGCGAGGAGAAGGGGAAACGGCACAGCGGAAAAGAGCAAGAAATACCAGGGACGCGGCTCGGGGAGGAGCGGCGGGCGGAAAAGAGGAATCAATGAGAGGGGAGGAGAGAGGAGCCGGGGGAAGGCAACTCTGACACGCGCGCTCACTAGGGGGGGGGGAGAGCGAGGGAGACTGGTGGTGGTGGTGGAGGAGTCGGACGGCGGCGAGGCAGCACGCAGCAGCGGAATGAGAGCTTCCTGGACTGCCACGCACCTCCTCTACCGCCCACAGCGCTGCTCCCGCATCACCCTGTGAAGAGACAAACGAGGGTGAGAGGGGGGGAGAGAGAGAGAGAGAGCTCCCATGCGCTCCTCTTGAGCCCTGCCGGCTGGGGGAGGAGGAGGAGGAGGAGGGAAAGAGAGGAGGGGACGAGGGCTCCGGCGCTCTCTCACTGCCT